TAGTAGGATGTGTACCAGTTAATAAAATGACTGGAGAAATCTTATTAATAACGCAACGAAAAGGAAATGGATGGGTACTGGTAATTAAACCATCTTACATTCTACTTAATGATTTATCTATAGTTTATATTACCAATTCGAGTATATTGAACTAAAGCCTAAAGGTGGTTGGGAAAATGATGAATCGCAACAAGAGGCAGCAGCTAGAGAAACATACGAAGAAGGTTTGTCGTGTAATAATTTCTTTTAAAATATTACCATTAATAAATATATTATTGATGATTTTAATAGCTGGTGCACGAGGAAAATTATCATTTATTGGAATATGGGATCATAAACAAACTGGCATATCCAATTCTGCATTTAGTTTTTTTGAAATGGAAGTGGATAAATTAGAAGATCAATGGCCTGAAATGGATGTGCGAAATAGACAGTGGGTGTGTTTATGTCTTATATATCAGTTCTAATTTAATCCTCTTTATTTTTTTAATATACATTAACTAATATTCTAAAATTCTAAATTCTAAATATTCTAAATATTGCAGTTTACGTATGAGGATGCTCTAAAAGCCTTAATAAAACCTTTCATGCGGGAAGTGGTAGAACGTTGCTCGTTGGCTCCTTCAAATAAATAAGTTTGACATGCTATTATAACATGCTAAACGCAAATGTTTTTTTATAATGTTTTTATGTTAAAAAAAAAATAGCATACTCTATTTATTACTAATATCATAATGCTAAAATAGCATTTTAGAAATAACGCCCGAAATAAAAGCGCAAAATTAGAACTTTTAATTTTATTAAATTTTTGGATAAATATGAGTGCAAACCTCTTGACTAAATTTTCAACATTTTCAATAATATTTCGTATTTAACTATTCATTATTCACATAGTTTGACTCTTCATAAGTGTGAAATTTTAAATAAATTGAAGAAAATGCACTTATGGAGTCTGAAATACCGATTTCGCCATTATTTGCTTTGCATTATAGCCTCCATCCTTGGAAGCTTATGAATTTGAAATTAATTTAGCTTTACCAGCATATAATTAATCATTTCACCGTTTAAAATCTATTTGAATAAAATTTTCAAGCATATTGAAATTTAAATTATTTATCATTAATTTTATCTTATCGTAATATCAAACATCTATCGATATACAACTTTTTAGAAAGAAATGTACTCTTATGAAAAAATAATCATTCTAAAAAATTTGTAGATAATCCAATTTTAAAACTTTCCAAGGTTAAATGCAATACACAGAAAACCAAGATCCAATTCCAAAAGTCTTTAGCAATGAATAAGCTTCCTGCATTTTCACCACCTGTAAGTTCTTGCACTTGATTATATACTAACATATTTGGACTTAATGTCCCATTTAGTCCATTAATTACGTTTTTTGTTGCAAGTTTTTCCAAGAGATTGAGGATATATTTAGGTCTCGTGTTCAACGATTTGATTGACAAGAGGGATATTTGTTGTGGATTCAATTCAGAAAGGATTAATG